AATTAATTAATAATTTGTTATAAAATTACACTAATAAAAATAAACACACTTGAAACTTAAAATAATTGAGTTATATTTACACAATATTTTTTTACGTATTCTACACAATTAATCTACACAATTAAGAATTTTCATCATAAAATAAAATAGTTCAAATTCACGAAAAGAACAAATATTATGATCAAATTGTTTTTCAAGAAAAAATAATATTATGAAAAATTTAAATTACAAAAAAAAACTTCTTATACGTTGATAATATTCTTTAAAATTATGCCATCTATATATGCTTCATCCATAATCCATGAGACTAATAAAATAATATTTATTTTCCCGAAATTCAGTCTTTATCAAACAAAACTACTAATAAATACAAAATTAACTACAATTTGATTTTAATTAATGAATCATAACTAGATTAAATATATATATATATATGTAATAGTGATCTTAAAGAACAAAAAGATAATGAGATATTGATTAAGATATTTGTTTTTATAAATATTTGGAAATAGGCAAATCTAATTATCTTTAACAAAAATATACTAAAGTATTGTATATATTCGTGTTATTGTACATGATGAGATATTATAAATTATAAATAATATTCGTAGATCAAAAAATTTCTCTTACCATAATTTATATATTATATATATACGTGTTTGCGGTGAAGTTTGTCAAATTCATATTTCTATTCTCATATTTATTTTTAAGAACCTATACATGTAAACATATTTTTGAACCAAACTTATTTTCTATTTTATTGTTTGTTCTCTATTTTATGAATTTAATAAAGAATGTGTAATGACTTCATCTTTTTGAATGTTGTCTTCAACATTTGAAAAACCTTGAAAATAATTATTTTACCAAGTTCTTCATCCTAATTCAAAATATAGTCCAAATCATGCTCATTTTAATTATCTTTGTTTTGTTTTTTTCAGAAAAATAAGAATTAAAAATAGTAGAAGAACACGAGCTACATAAAATATAACACATGAAAAAATTCATTTAGTAAATTAAGAGGTAGAAAATGAAGATCTTAGAGGACTACAATTTTAATCGAATACCATTGGCAATATTTAACTATGAAAAGAAAATTTTCTAATTAGTTTGATACTTAGAAAATTAGAAAATATTTCATCCGCCTATTACGCGGGGAATCAGCTAGTTAAAATGAATTCAAAAGTCTTTTACAAATGGGACATTAGGTTTTCAAATTAGAATTTATTTTTTTTAGCGTCTAGGTTTAAGTTTAGTCCTGCAGGGTAATATAATTCTTTCCATTTAACTATCTTGATATTCATAACGAACTCTCTTAGGTCAAGATGATGCAAAATAGCTAGTAAGTCGATCTGGGAGGACCCGATTATTTCACAAACTGATACACATATCTCTTATATAATTAAAATCCTGATTAAGTTACAATCGATTTGAGAGAGCAAATTCAGCAAACTTAACTACTAATGAACAAATGAACACTACTATAATGAACAAAACAATCCATCAAATTTATAGATTAACTCAAATCCCCACAATTTCTACATTAACTAAAATGGAATCTATCAAAAGTAAAACTGGATTCAAACTTAGAACAACAGATCCAAAAGAAAATGAGCTAACTTGCAAAAAAAAAAACAGTAGATTGTGTATAACTTCTTTTAAGAAACTCTAACAATTTGCTTCTAATCTAGGAAACATCCGCCTAGTATTGAAATCAGAACCCAAAACCCACCAATTACCATAAACAAAGATTAGAAACTTCAAACTCACAACGACGCACAATTGTTCTCACTATGCTTCACTTAGCTACTCAGCTTCAAGCTCCAGATGATAGCAAAAATTGCCGGAATCTCAAATAAAAAGCAGAACCCGGAAAATACAAGTAGAAAAAATACGAAAGGCTTAAGCTTGTGTGATTCTCCAACGTCTTCTTCTTCTTCTCTTTGTCGGCTAAAAGAGGCAGAAGAAGGAGAGAAAAGTTTGATGGATCCGCCTACCCTCAAAATTTTACTTCAACTCCTGTTTTTTTGTTGTAATAGATCCGAATTATTATAATAGATCCGAGATTTGTTTGTGTATATCCGAATTTGCGAATGTTTTATATAGGAATGTGTTTCACTAAGGATAGATAAAATATATAAATTGAAACAAATCAAAATTAAACAAGCCAAAATTGAACTAAAATATATAATAGTACGAATGGATACATAAAATATTATACTAAATTACCACGACCTACTTCGAATTATACGAAACCGAACTCAAATAATTGAACTAACCAACTAAAGAATATTAGTTTATGTATTTTATTCAATTTTGTTTACTCGACCTAGAAACCGATTATGATTAAATCAAGTGATGATACATCACTGACTTTTCTTGAATTTTGTTGACTTTTGAACAACGTT